CCGCCCCGCACGGCGGCCCTCCAGTCGCCTTCACGCCAGGGAGGGGGAACCGCCCCGCCGAGCCCCCGCCAGGCGCTGCTCGAAGTGACACTCCTCGCTGCCTGTCGCCGCGGCGCGGAGAAAGCGTACCGCTTGTTGGTTGTGGAGTCGGGGTGGCTGGCCCCAGAGTCGCTGGGACTGAACCAAGACGGAGAAGCCTGTCTTCCCCGACGGGTGGCCTCGCCAGAGAAGCCCGTCCTCCGTGCCCACCCTACTGGTTCAAGTTGCGATGACTGAAAGCGGCAACCGGGAGGATCCCTGCCCCGCTCCCAGGGCCCAGCCAGAGGGGTTTGGGACTGGCTCATCCCTTCAGGAGCTGGGGCGTGGCATGGGCAAAGGGACCCTGTTGCGTGAGGCCCAGGGGACTCAAGGGCGGCCCCTCCTCGCCTGTCTTCGCCCAGCTCCCATCCAGACTACAACCACCCTCTATGAGCGGGGCTTCGAGAAAATCACCAAGCGGCAGAATAAGGAGCAGGTCCCACCCCCTGCCGTGGAGCCCAAGAAACCAGGGAACAGGAAGCAGCCGCAAAAGGCGGCTCCGCTCCCCAGCCGGAGCGCGAAGCAGGGCCGCTTCCGCAGCCTGGAGGAGGCACTGAAAGTGGTGAGTGCACCCTAGACCACGGTGGAGAACAGGTGGGGGGCGTGGGGGGGCCCGGCAGCGAAGGGACCTCTGGGGTTGGAGTCAGGACAAGGCGGAGACCCCACAGGAGCAGCTGGTTTCCGCTGAGAAGAAGAAAGAAGCAAGAGGGGTGTGGGGAAACGTGGACTGGGGAGAGACAGCCTTGGAGACCAGGGAGAAGACAGAGAGACTGGTCAGGGCTTCCTGTCCCGTGGAAGCAGTGTATTTCGTCCTCTACCTTGTCGTCTATTTTTCCCTGGAACCTGTGGAGGCTTAAGAGGATAAGGTCTTGAAATCAGCACTCTGAGCTGCCGTGGTCCATGCTTTCTAAAGATCTGGATGCGGTGAAATTGGAGCCTTGCCCATACCTATGCTAGGAAACAGAGCCCTTTCTTTCCCGCCACCTCCTAGTACAGCTGTTTTCCCACCCCAGCCCTGTGTCCTTACCTCTCACTCTCAACTCACCACGCGGGCGGGCATCCTGGCAGCTGGATGTGGCAGCTCTGCAGAAGGAGCTGGACAGAAGCCAGAGCGTGTTCTCTGGGAACCCGTCTGTGTGGCTGAAGGACCTGGCCAGCTACCTCAACTACAAGCTGCAGGCTCCGCCGGGTGAGCCCACGCTGAGCCAGCACCCTCATGGTGAGTCGCCCAGCTCCCAGAGGTCAGACAGGCTCGGAACACCCTAATGGGGCTGGTTTAGGAGCAGCCCTGGACCTTGGCGTTCTGGTGTGTGTGGTTGGCTTGAGCTGTCCTCGTGTTCTCAGATCATCGTGGCCGTGAGCGTTTCTGGGCCTTGTTGGGAGAGGGACGATGTCAGCTTGGTGCAGGGACCTTTGGCTCCACCCACTGTTCCCAGGGAGGCCCCACCGTTCACGGAGCTGGCAGGGTCCCAGCACTCATGCAGAGGCCTCTGGGCCCCAGATTATCCCTACAGCCTGGTAAGCCGAGAGCTGCGTGGGATCATCCGAGGGCTTCTGGCAAAGGCAGCGGGATCTCTGGAGCTCTTTTTCGACCACTGTCTTTTCACGATGCTGCAAGAGCTGAACAAGACACCAGGTGAGGGGCCAGTGAAGGATGACCATTTCAGGAGCCTCTGCCTTTCTGTCCTACTTCTCGCACGACTGGGTGGTTTCCTGTAGGGGCCTGCTGTTCTTGACACTCTTTGGAAAGGGAGGAGGATATTAGGACTTGGCGGGCCTGAGTTCTGGACTCACCACTGCCCAGTGGGAAATTTCAGGCTTGGGCTGCCAAGCAGTGCGAGTAGGTCTAAACACATGTGTCTCTCCAGGGGAGTCACTACACGGTTATCGCATCTGCATCCAGGCCGTTCTGCAGGACAAGCCCAAGATTGCTACCACGAATCTGGGCAAGGTAAGCTCTGGGAGGGGTTGGGGACACCAGGAGGCCAGGCCCAGGGAGGCTGGGCAGAGCTTATGTTGATGGACTTGTTTATGGGTTAGCGGAAAATCTTCCAAGACTAACAACAATAGGTAATGCTATTGGCACTTTCTGTACATTTGCGTTAAAAACAGGCAAGCGCTACTGTCATTCCCATTTTAGGGAAGGAAGGAGCGAGTCACAGAGTTAGTGCTTTTCCTGGGGTTGGTCAGTCAGTGTGTACTAGAGGTGAATAAAGCCACGTTCCGAGTCATGGCACTGCACCACCGTAGTGCCAATCTCGTGCTGCCTGCCCCACCCTCCCGGGTCACCCTTCCCTGCTGGCTTTGGGTGTTCCTGGCGCTTTGCTCTCTCCAACCATACTTCCCCACTGGTCTCTTCAGTTCCTGGAATTGCTGAGGTCCCACCAGAGCCGACCCGCAAAGTGTCTGACCATCATGTGGGCCCTGGGTCAAGCGGGTTTTGCCAACCTTACCGAGGGACTGAGAGGTAACAAGGAAGTGGGAAAGAAAGAGAATAGTCCTGGAGCCAGAATGCTCCTCTCTGGTGTCCCTGTGGGTGCACGCCTGAGCCCCCCCTTTCCACAGTGTGGCTGGGGGTCATGCTGCCAGTGCTGGGCATCAAGGCTCTGTCTCCCTTTGCTGTCGCGTATCTGGACCGGCTGCTCCTGTGAGTCACGGGCGGTGAGGGGGAGGCTCGGGTATCAGTGGGTGGCTATTTCCATGACATGGAGTGCTGTCTTGGTCTCCACGGATGGGAGGAAATTGGGACCAACTCCTCCCACCTCAGCAGTGATGGCATGTGCCCTTTTTCCTGGGGTTGGCTTAGCCAGGGTCATGACCACCACAGATGGCCTGGATGGTGGTCCCCGACATGCCATTTCTCTTCCCCACAGGGTGCATCCCAACCTCACCAAAGGCTTTGGCGTGATCGGCCCCAAGGACTTCTTCCCTCTTCTGGACTTTGCCTACATGCCCAACAACTCCCTGACACCCAGGTAGGGCTAGGGGTGTGCCTACTGGGAGCAGATGACAGGGCGAGCACCCCCAGCCTCCCAGGATCGGGACATGCAGGGATGGGTTTCAGGGGGTGAGTGAACCCTTGAGAGTGTGTAGGCCTTTGAGTGTGACTGGCATGTGGACGTTTTCTCAGGGAGCAGCCCATGGCTCCCGATGGGTGTTCCAAGGAGTCTGAGTAGAAAGGGTTAGAGCCATCACGGGCACCAGTGACTTGCCTCGAGCCAGGTGTGGCTCACAGCCTGGCCCGGCTCCAACTCAGCCTGCAGGAACAGCTGTGCCAGCTCTACCCTCGCCTGAAGGTGCTGGCATTCGGGGCGAAGCCGGACTCCACTCTGCACACCTACTTCCCTTCCTTCTTATCCAGGGCCACCCCTGGCTGTCCCCTTGGGATGAAGAGAGAGGTGAGGGATGAGGGGACACGGCTTCGCCCTTCCCAGGGG